GGACGTGGACGTGGACGTGGACGTAGAAATGGACGTGGACGTGGACGTGGACGTGGACAATGGACTTGGACATGGACGTGGACATGGACGTGGACATGGACGTGGACATGGACGTGGACATGGACGTGGACGTGGACATGGACGTGACGTGGACGTGGACGTGGACGTGGACGTGGACGTGGACATGGACGTGGACGTGGACGTGGACGTGGACGTGGACGTGGACGTGGACGTGGACGTGGACGTGGACATGGACGTGGACGTGGATGGGACGTGACGTGGACGTGGACGTGGACGTGGACATGGACGTGGACGTGGACGGACGTGGACCGTGGACGTGGACGTTGACGTGACGTGGACGTGGACGTGGACGTGGACGTGGACGTGGACATGGACGTGGACGTGGACGTGGACGTGGACGTGGACATGGACGTGGACGTGGACGTGGACGTGGACATGGACGTGGACGTGGACGTGGGCGTGGAAATGGACGTGGACATGGACGTGGACGTGGACGTGGACCGGGACGTGGACATGGACGTGGACGTGGACATGGACGTGGACGTGGACTGGACGTGGACGTGGACGTGGACGTGGACGTGGACATGGAACGTGGACATGGACGTGGACGTAGACGGGGACGTAGAAATGGACGTGGACGTGGACGTGGACATGGACGTGGACGCAACGTGGACGGTGAACGTGGACGCAGACGTGGACGTGGACGTGGACATGGACGTGGACGTGGACGTGGACGTGGACATGGACGTGGACGTGGACATGGACGTGGACGTGGACGTGGACATGGACGTGGACATGGACATGGAGGAGGACGTGGACGTGGACGTGGACGTGGACGTGGACGTGGACGTGGACAATGGACGTGGACGTGGACGTGGACGTGGACATGACGAGTGGACGTGGACGTGGACGTGGACATGGACGTGGGATTGGACATGGACGTGGACATGGACGTGGACGTGGACGTGGACGTGGACGTGGACATGGACGTGGACGTGGACGTGGACATGGACGTGGACATGGACGTAGACATGGACGTGGACGTGGACATGGACGTGGACGTGGACATGGACATGGACGTGGACATGGACATGGACATGGACGTGGACATGGACATGGACATGGACATGGACATGGACATGGACATGGACGTGGACATGGACATGTGGACATGGCATGGACGTGGACGTGGACGTGGACGTGGACGTGGACATGGACTTGGAACATGGACGTGGACTTGGACGTGGACATGGACGTGACGTGGACGTGGACAATGGACGTGGACATGGACGTGGACATGGACGTGGACGCGGACATGGACATGGACTGTGGACATGGACATGGACGTGGACATGGACGTGGACGTGGACGTGGACGTGGACATGGACGTGGACGTGGACTTGGACGTGGACATGGACGTGGACGTGGACGTGGACGTGGACATGGACGTGGACGTGGACGTGGACGTGGACATGGAACGACTTGGACGTGGACGTGGACATGGACGTAGACGTGGACGTGGACCGTGGACATGGATGTGGACGTGGACGTGGACGTGTGGACATGGACGTGGACGTGGACGTGGACATGGACGTGGACATGGACGTGGACATGGACGTGGACGTGGACATGGACGTGGACGTGGACATGGACATGGACGTGGACATGGACGTGGACGTGGACGTGGACATGGACGTGGACGTGGACGTGGACGTGGACATGGACGTGGACGTAGGACGTGGACGTGGACATGGACGTGGACGTGGACATGGACGTGGACGTGGACGTGGACGTGGACTTGGACGTGGACGTGGACATGGACGTAGACGTGGACGTAGACGTGGACATGGACGTGGACGTGGACGTCGGACATGGACGTGGACATGGACGTGGACATGGACGTGGACGTGGACATGGACGTGGACCGTGGACATGGACATGGACGTGGACATGGACGTGGACGTGGACGTGGACGTGGACATGGGACGTGGACGTGGGACGTGGACGTGGACGTGGACATGGACGTGGACGTGGACGTGGACATGGACGTGGACGTAGACATGGACGTGGACGTGGACATGGACGTGGACATGGACGTGGACATGGACGAGGACGTGGACGTGGACATGGACGTGGACGTGGACGTGGACGTGGAGGTGGACGTGGAGGTGGACCGTGGACGTGGACATGGACGAGGACGTGGACGTGGACGTGGACGTGGACGTGGACCTGGACGTGGACGTAGAAATGGGAGGTGGACATGGACGTGGACCTGGACGTTGACGTGGACGTGGACCTGGACGTTGATGTGCGCGTGGACGTGGACGTGGACGTGGAGGACGTGGACGTGTAGGTGGACGTGGACGTGGACGTGGACGTGGACGTGGACGTGGTCGTAGACGTGGTCGTGGACGTGGACGTGGACGTGGACGTGGACCTGGACGTTGACGTGGACGTGGACGTAGAAATGGAGGTGGACGTGGACGTGGACCTGGACGTTGACGTGGACTGTGGACCTGGACGTTGATGTGCGCGTGGACGTGGACGTGGACGTAATGGACGTGGACGTGGACGTGGACGCGGACGTGGACGTGGACGTGGACGTGGACGTGGACGCGGACGCGGACGTGGACGTGGACGTGGACTTGGACGTGGACGTGGACGTGGACGTGGACGTGGACGTGGACGGTGGAGGACGTGGACGTAGACGCGGACCTGGACGTGGACGCGGACGTGGACGCGGACGCGGACGTGGACGCGGACGCGGACGTGGACGCGGACGTGGACGTGGACGTGGACGTGGACGTGGACGTGGACGTGGACGTGGACGTGGACGTGGAGGTGGACGTGGACGTGGACGTGGAAGTGGACGTGGACGTGGACGTGGACCTGGACGTGGACCTGGACGTGGAACTTGACGTGGACGTGGACGTGGACCAGGACGTGGAAGTGGACGTGGACATGGACGTGGACCTGGACGTGGACCTGGACGTGGACATGGACGTGGACGTGGACGTGGACATGGACGTGGACGTGGACGTGGACGTGGACGTAGACATGGACGTGGACGTGGACGTGCACATGGACATGGACGTGGGACGTGGACGTCGACATGGACGTGGACATGGACATGGACATGGACCTGGAGGTGGACGTGGACGTGGACATGGACGTAGAAATGGACGTGGACGTGGACGTGGACGTGGACATGGACGTAGAAATGGACGTGGACGTGGACGTGGACGTGGACGTGGACATGGACGTGGACGTGGACGTAGACATGGACGTAGAAATGGACGTTGACGTGGACGTGGACGTGGACGTGGACGTGGACGTGGACGTAGAAATGGAGGTGGACGTGGACGTGGACCTGGACGTTGACGTGGACGTGGACCTGGACGTTGACGTGCGCGTGGACGTGGACGTGGACGTGGAGGACGTGGACGTGGAGGTGGACGTGGACGTGGACGTGGACGTGGACGTGGACGAGGACGAGGACGTGGACGTGGACGTGGATGGACGTGGACGTGGACGTGGACGTGGACGTGGTCGTGGTCGTGGACAGTGGACGTGGACGTGGACGTGGACCTGGACGTTGACGTGGCCGTGGACGTGGACGTGGACGTGGAGGACATGGACGTGGACGTGGGACGTGGAGGACATGGACGTGGACGTGGACGTGGACGTGGACGTGGAAATGGACGTGGACGTGGACGTGGACGTGGACTAGACGTGGACGTGGACGTGGACGTGGACGTGGACGAGGAGGAGGACGTGGACGTGGACGTGGACGTGGACGTGGACGTGGACGTAGAAATGGAGGTGGACGTGGACGTGGACCTGGACGTTGACGTGGACGTGGACCTGGACGTTGACGTGCGCGTGGACGTGGACGTGGACGTGGAGGACGTGGACGTGGACGTGGACATGGACGTGGACGTGGACGTGGACGTGGACCTGGACGTCGATGGCACGTGGACCTGGACGTGGAGGTGGATGTGGAGGACATGGACGTGGACGTGGACGTGGACGTAGAAATGGACGTGGACGTGGACGTGGACGTTGACGCGGACGTGGACGTGGACGTGGACGTCGACGTGGACGTGGACCTGGACGTTGACGTGGATCTGGACGAGGACGTGGACGTGGACGTGGAGGACATGGACGTGGACGTGGACGTGGACGTGGACGTAGAAATGGACGTGGACGTGGACGTGGACGTGGACCTGGACCTGGACGTTGACGTGCACGTGGACGTGGACATGGACGTGGACGTGGAGGACATGGACGTGGACGTGACGTGGACGTTGACGTGGACGTGGACGTGGACGTGGACATGGACGTGGACGTGGACGTGGACGTGGACGTGGACGTGGACATGGACGTGGACATGGACGTGGACGTGGACGTGGACGTGGACATGGACGTGCACGTGGACGTGGACCTGGACGTGGACGTGCACGTGGAGGTGGACGTGGACGTGGACGTGGACGTGGACCTGGACGTTGACGTGCACGGGGACGTGGACCTAGACGTGGACGTGGACGTGGAGGACATGGACGTGGACGTGGACGTGGACGTGGACGAGGACGAGGACGTGGACGTGGACGTGGACGTGGACGAGGACGTGGACGAGGACGTGGACGTGGACGTGCACGTGGACGTGGACGTGGATGTGGACGTGGAGGACATGGACGTGGACGTGGACGTGGACGTTGACGTGGACGTGGACGTGGACGTGGACATGGACGTGGACGTGGACGTGGACGTGGACGTGGACATGGACGTGGACCTGGACGTGGACGTGGACGTGGACGTGGACGTGGACGTGGACCTGGACCTGGACCTGGACGTTGACGTGCACGTGGACGTGGACGTGGACGTGGACGTGGACGTGGACGTGGAGGACATGGACGTGGACGTGGACGTGGACGTTGACGTGGACGTGGACGTCGACGTGGACGAGGAGGAGGACAAGGACGTGGACGTGGACGTGGACGTGGACGTGGACATGGACGTACACGTGAACGTGGACGTGGACGTGGACATGGACGTGGACGTGGACGTGGACGTGGACATGGTCGTGGACGTGGACGTGGACGTGGACGTGGACGTGGACGTGGACGTGGACATGGACGTGGAGGTGGACGTGGAGGTGGACGTGGACGGGTCATGGACGTGGACGTGGACGTGGACGTGGACGTGGACGTGGACCTGGACGTGGACGTGGACGTGGACATGGACGTGGACGTGGACATGGACGTGGACGTGGACATGGTCGTGGACATGGACATGGTCGTGGACGTGGACGTAGACATGGACATGGTCGTGGACATGGACATGGACGTGGACATGGACATGGTCGTGGACATGGACATGGTCGTGGACGTGGACGTGGACATGGACATGGTCGTGGACATGGACATGGTCGTGGACATGGACATGGACGTGGACATGGACGTGGACATGGACATGGTCGTGGACGTGGACGTGGACGTGGACATGGGACGTTGACGTGGACATGGACGTGGTCATGGACGTGGACGTGGACGTGGACATAGACGTGGACGTGGACGTGGACATAGATGTGGACGTGGACATAGATGTGGGTCGTGGTCGTGGACGTGGACGTGGACGTGGTCATGGACGTGGATATGGACGTGGACGTGGAGGACGTGGACGTGGAGGACGTGGAGGACGTGGACGTGGAGGACGTGGACGTGGACGTGGAGGACGTGGACGTGGACGTGGACGTAGACATGGTTGTGGACGTGGACGTTGACGTGGACGTGGACGTGGACCGTGGTCGTGGACGTGGAGGACTTGGACGTTGACATGGACGTGGACGTGGACGTGGACGTGGACATGGTCGTGGACGTGGACGTGGACGTGGACATGGACGTGGACGTGGACGTGGACGTGGAAGTGGACGTGGACGTGGACATGGATGTGGACGTGGACGTGGACGTGGACGTGGACGTCGACGTGGAGCTTGCGTGGTCGAGGAGCGTGCCTGGTCCATGGGCTTGCGTGATCCAGGAGCTTGCCTGGTCCAGGAGCTTGCTTGGTCCAGAAGCTTGCCTGGTCCAGGAGCTTGCCTTGTCTAGGAGCTTGCCTGGTCCAGGAGCTTGCCTCGTCCAAGAGCTTGCGTGGTCGAGGAGCTTACCTGGTCCAGGAGCTTGCCTCGTCGAAGAGCTTGCCTTATCAAGGAGCTTGCCTGGTCCAAGAGCTTTCCTGGTCCAGGAGCGTGCCTGATCTAGGAGCTTGCTTAGACAAGGAGCTTGCCTGATCCAAAAGCTTGCCTTGTCCAAGAGCTTGCCTGGTCCAGGAGCTTGCTTGGTCCAAGAGCTTGCTCGGTCCAAGCTTGCCTAGTCCAGGAGCATGCCTAGTCTAAGAGCTTGCCTGGTCGAGGAGGTTGCCTCGTCAAGGAGCTTGCCTGGACCAGGAGCTGGCCTGGTCCAAAAGCGTGCCTGAAGCTAAAATGCGCCTGGTCCATGAGCTTGCCTGGTCCAGGAGCTTGTCTAGTCCAGGAGCGTGCCTGGTCCAGGAGCTTGCCTGGTCCAGGAGCGTGCCTGGTCCAGGTGCTTGCCTGGTCCACGAGCTAGCCTCGTCCTAGAGCTTGTCTGGTCCAGGAGCGTCCTTGGTCGAGGAGCTTCCCTGGTCCAGGAGCTTGCCTGGTCCAAGAGCTTGCCTGGTCCTGGAGCTTCACTGGTCCAAGAGCTTGCCAGGTGCAAGAGCTTGTCAGGTCCAGGTGCATGCCGGGACCAAGAGCTTGCCTGGTCCAGGAGCGTGCCTGGTCAAGGAGCTTGCCTGGTCCAGGAGCTGGCCTGGTCCTGGAGCATGCCTGGTCTTGGAATGTGTCTTGTCTAGGAGCGTGCCTAGTCCATGAGCTTGCCTCGTCTAGGAGCGTGCCTGGTCAAGGAGCTTGCCTGGTCCACGAGCTTGCCTGGTCCAAGAGCTTGCCTGGTCCAAGAGCTTGCCTGGTCCAAGAGCTTGCCTAGTCCACAAGCTTGCCTGGTCCAAGAGCTTGCCTCGTCAAGGAGCTTGCCTGGTTCAGGAGCTGGCCTCGTCTAGGAGCGTGCCTGGTCCTGGAATGTGTCTGGTCCAGGAGAGTGCCTAGTCCATAAGCTTGCCTCGTCTAGGAGCTTGCCTGGTCCAGGAGCTTACCTGGTCCTGGAGCTTGCCTGATCCTGGAGCTTGCCTGGTCCAAGGCAAGCTAACCGACCAAGAAAGCTCCAGGACAGGGCAGGCTCCTGGACCAGGCACGCTCCTAGAACAGGCAAGCTCCTGGACCAGGCAAAGCTCCTGGACCAGGCAAGCTCTTTGACCAGGCAAGCTCCTGGACTAGGCAAGCTCCTGGACCAGGCACGCTCCTGGACCCGGCAAGCTCCTAGACCGGGCAAGCTCTTGGACCAGGCAAGCTCCTGGTCCAGGCAAACTCGTGGACCAGGCACGCTCCTGGACCAGGCAAGATCTTGGACGAGGCAAGCTCCTGGACCAGGCAAGCTCCTAGACCAGGCAAGCTCCTGGACCACGAACGCTCCTGGACCTGGTAAGCTCCTAGACCAGGCAAGATCTTGGACGAGGCAAGCTCCTAGACCAGGCAAGCTCCTGGATCAGGCAAGCTCCTCGACCAGGCACGCTCCTGGACCAGGCAAGCTCCTAGACGAGGCAAGGTCCTGGACCAGGCAAGCTCCTAGACCAGGCAAGCTCGTGGACCAGCCATGCTCTTGGACCAGCCAAGCTCTTGGACAGGGCATGCTCCTAAACCACGAAAGCTCTTGGACCAGGCAAGCTCTTGGACCTGGCAAGCTCCTGGACCAGCCAAGCTCCCGGACCATGCAAGCTCGTGGACCAGGCACGGTCCTTGGACCAGGCAAGATCCTAGACCAGGCAAGCTCCTGGACCAGGCAAGCTCCTGGACCAGGCAAGCTCGTGGACCGGCCAAGCTCGTGGACCATGCAAGCTCCTTGACCGGGCAAGCTCCTAGACCAGGCACGCTCCTCGACCAGGCAAGCTCCTAGACCAGGCAAGCTCCTGGACCACGCAAGCTCTTGGACCAGGCACGCTCTTGGACCAGGCAAGCTCTTGGACCAGGTAGGCTTCATGACCGGGCAAGCTGCTGAACAAGGCAAGCTCCTGGACCAGGCAAGATCCTAGTCCAGCCAAGCTCATGGACCACGCAAGCTCCTGGACCAGGAACGCTCGTTGACCAGGCACGCTCTTGGACCAGGCAAGCTCCTAGACCAGGCAAGGTCCTGGACCAGGCAAACTCCTGGACCAGGCAAGCTCATGGACCGGGCACGCTCTGGACCAGGCAAGCTCCTGGACCAGGCAAGCTCCTAAACCACGCAAGCTCTTAGACCGGGCAAGCTCGTGGAACACGCAAGCTCGTGGACCACGCAGGCTCCTGGACCAGGCAAGCTCCTAGACCAGGCAAGCTCCTTGACCAGGCAAGCTCTTGGACCAGGCACCCTCTTGGACCAGGCAGGCTTCTGGACCAAGCAAGCTCCTGGACCACGCAAGCTCCTGGACCAAGCAAGCTCGTGGACCAGGCAGGCTCCTGGACCAGGCAAGCTCCTGGACCAAGCAAGCTCCTGGACCAGGCACACTCGTGGACCAGGCACACTCCTGGACCAGGCAAGCTCTTGGACCAGGCACGCTCTTGGACCAGGCAAGCTATTGGACCACGCAAGCTCCTGGACCAGGCACGCTCGTGGACCAGGCACGCTCCTAGCCTAGGCACGCTCCTGGAACAGGCAACCTCATGGACCAAGCACGCTCCTTGACCAGGCAAGCTCCTGGACGAGGCAAGCTCCTAGACCATGCAAGCTCTTGGACCAAGCACGCTCCTGGACCAGGCAAGCTCTTGGACCAGGCACGCTTCTCGACCAAGCAAGCTCCTGGACCAGGCAAGCTCCTGGACGACGCAAGCTCTTGGACCAGGTAGGCATCTAGACCAAGCAAGCTCCTGGACCTGGCAAGCTCCTGGACCACGCAAGCTTCTGGACAAGGCAAGCTCCCGGACCAGGCAATATCTTGGACCAGGCAAACTCCCGGTCCAAGGAAGCTTCTGGACCAAGCAAGCTCGTGGACCGGGCACGCTCCTGGACCAGGCAAGTTCCTAGACGAGGCAAGCTCCTGGACCAGGCAGGCTCCTGGACCTTGCAAGCTCCTGGACTTGGCAAGCTCCTGTACCAGGCACGCTCTTGGACCAGGCAAGCTCCTAGACTAGGCAAGCTCCTCGACCACGCAAGCTCTTGGACCAGACAAGCTCCTGGACCGGGCAAGCTCCTGGACCAGTCAAGCTAACGGACCATGAAAGCTCCTGGACAAGGCAAGCTCCTGGACCAGGCAAGCTTCCGGACCAGGCACGCTCTTGGACCAGGCAAGCTCCTAGACCAGGCAAGTTCCTAGACTAGGCAAGCTCCTGGACCAGGCAAGCTCCTAGACCACGCAAGCTCTTGGACCAGGCAAGCTCTTGGACAAGGCAAGCTTGCGTGGTCCAAGAGCGTGCCTGGTCCAAGAGCTTGCGTGGTCCAGGAGCTTGCCTGGTCTAGGAGCTTGCCTGGTCCAGGAGCGTGCCTGATCTAGGAGCTTGCCTGGTCAAGGAGCTTGCCTGGTCCAAGAGCTTGCCTGGTCCAGGAGCGTGCCTGGTCCAAGAGCTTGCCTGGTCCAGGAGCTTTCATGGTCCAAGAGCTTGCTTGGTCCAGAAGCCTGCCTGGTCCAAGAGCTTGCCTGGTCCCGGAGCGTGTCTGGGTTAAGAGCTTGCCTGGTCCAGGAGCTTGCGTGGTCGAGGAGCTTGCCTGGTCCAGGAGCTTGCCTGGTCCAGGAGCTTGCCTTGTCCAAGAGCTTGCCTGGTCCAAGAGCTTGCGTGGTCTAGGAGCTTGCCTGGTCCAGGAGCTTGCCTAGTCTAGGAGCTTGCCTGGTCTAGGAGCTTGCCTGGTCCAAGAGCGTGCCTGGTCCGGAAGCTTGCCTGGTCCAGGAGCTTGCCTGGTCTAGGAGCTTGCATGGTCCAGGAGCGTGCTTGGTCCAGGAGCTTGCCTGGTCCATGAGCTATCCTGGTCCAGGAGCTTGCCTGATCAAGGAGCTTGCCTGGTCCAGGAGCTTGGCTTCTGTTCCAAGAGCTTGCTTGGTCCAGAAGCCTGCCTGGTCCAAGAGCTTGCGTGGTCCAGGAGCTTGCGTGGTCTAGGAGCTTGCCTGGTGAAGGAGCTTGCCTGGTCCAGGAGCTTGCCTCGTCCAAGAGCTTGCCTGGTCCAGAAGCTTGCCTGGTCCAGGAGCTTGCCTAGTCCAGCAGCTTGCCTGGTCTAGGAGCTTGCCTTGTCTAGGAGCTTGCTTGGTCCAAGCGCGTTCCTGGTCCACGAGTTTGCCTGGTCCAGAAGCTTACCTGGTCCAGGAGCTTGCCTGTTCCACGAGCAGGAGCTTGCCTTGTCCACGAGCTTTCATGGTCCATTAGCTTGCCTGGTCCAGGAGCTTGCCTGGTCCAGGAGCTTGCCTGGTTCAAAAGCTTGCATGGTCCAGGAGCTTGCGTGGTCCAAGAGCTTGCCTGGTCAAGGAGCTTGCCTGGTCGAGGAGCTTGCCTGGTCCAAGAGCTTGCCTGGTCTAGGAGCTTGCCTGGTCCTGGAGCTTGCCTAGTCCAGCAGCTTGCCTGGTCTAGGAGCTTGCCTGGTCTAGGAGCTTGCCTGGTCCAGGAGCGTTCCTGGTCCACGAGTTTGCCTGGTCCAAAAGCTTGCCTCGTCCAGGAGCGTTCCTGTGCCAAGAGCTTGCTTGGTCCAGAAGCCTGCCTGGTCTACGAGCTTGCCTGGTCCAGGAGTGTGCCTGGTCCAAGAGCTTGCGTGGTCCAGGAGCTTGCGTGGTCCAGGAGCTTGCCTGGTCAAGGAGCTTGCTTGGTCTAGGAGCTTGCATGGTCCAAGAGCTTGCCTGGTCCAGGAGCTTGCCTGGTCCAGGAGCTTGCCTAGTCCAGTAGCTTGCCTGGTCTAGGAGCTTGCCTGGTCTAGGAGCTTGCCTGGTCCAGGAGCGTTCCTGGTCCACGAGTTTGCCTGGTCCACAAGCTTGCCTAGTCCAGGATCGTTCCTGTGCCAAGAGCTTGCTTGGTCCAGAAGCCTGCCTGGTCCAAGAGCTTGCCTGGTCCAGGAGCGTGCCTGGTCCAAGAGCTTGCGTGGTCCATGAGCTTGCGTTGTCCAGGAGCTTGCCTGGTCAAGGAGCTTGCCTGGACTAGGAGCTTGCCTGGTCCAAGAGCTTGCCTGGTCCAGGAGCTTGCCTGGTCCAGGAGCTTGCCTAGTCCAGAAG